TGAGGAGGAGGACTGGAGTGGGATCAAAGGTTAAAAGGTTAAAGGTTAAAAAATATGCTGCCGTAGAAACACAGGCAGCGAGCAGCAGATGTGGACCTGCTGAGGTGTGCTGCTGGATGTTTAAATGAGTTGCCCTTTCCTCCGGGTGGGAGAGCTGGATCCCCAACCTTACACCTCAGCAAGGTGCTGGGAGCTCTCTCTTGGGTCCCCGACTTGAGGCTGGGGTCTGAAGAGCAGCCTCACCACTGGCAGGGCCAGTCCTTCTCCTGGTTGGATCTCTGGGGTTCACCAGCCTCTTATGCTGTTCCCTTCCAGGAGGCTGCCAGGCCTGAGAGGACCTGCAACTTGTCCTTCAAGCCGAGGGCTGGTCTCTGTTGAGCTGGGTGGGTGGGGGTGATGTCTCACATAGATGCAGCCCCCCCATGCCCCCTCCTCCAGCAGGGACTGCTTCTCAAGGTGAGCCCCTCCTTCCAGCTCCCAGGACCCCAGGCTGGGAATTGTGAAAGGCACAGTGATGAGGGGCTCCCCTGAGAAACTGAAAGTGTCTTTCTAAGCTACAGGGAGCTCAGCAACCTGCGTGACCCAGGGCAGGTGACCCCCAGTCCCTGGGTCACCTGCCTTTCACTCCCTGGTGCTCTAGGGGCCCCTTCCTGCCTGCTCCTGGGAATAGCACAGCCAGACAGGAGAAAGATAGCTTAGACTTGGCTGACAGACTGAACGTGACCAAGAAACCAAGCCAGGCCTGGACTCCTGAGGGGCTTCACTGGGAAGGAGGGAGGTAGCAAGATGACGGAGGCCCAAGTCTCATGTTCTGAGTACAGGTAACAAGATCAAATGCCAAGTGAGGGAGCGTGGAAAGGACTGGAGGATCCAAGTGCTCAGGCTGGGTAGCTGGAAGGTAGGGGCAGCAAGGAGGTCTGGATCTGATCCTAAGAAGCAGGGAGCCCCTTTGGGGCTGGAGAGAGGCCAGTGAGACTCCTTGGGCCAGCTCTGGGCCCAGCACCCAGCAGGGGTCCAGGATAACTCCTGAAAACAGGGACCATTCTGGTCCTTGCAGCTCAGTGGTAGCAGGGATCCCCCATCTGAGTGCCCCGCCCCCGACATCTGAGTACCCCAGGTTTGTGTGCTTGTATGGGATCAGGCCTCTCTGTTCAGGCCACCAAGCCCAAGCTACACCTTAACCCCACTTGGGAAGAAAATGAGTTGGGTGGACTCTGTGGAGAGCCCAGGGCCTGGAGGACCAGTGCTCAATGCTCCTGGCACCTGGACACCACCTACCCCACCTACCAGGCCTCCATCTGTGTGGCAGCGACTGTTTCTGGTCCGGCTGCAGTGGATACCACAGGGCAGGCAGGCACAGATCATGGTCCCTGCATATGTCACTGGTGTTCTTGGAGTCTTGGGTTCCTCCTTCATGAAAATGAGATAGTGTGCTGTAAGCAGGGGTCTTCACCCGGGGCCCAGTGCTGAGGGGCTGCCTATGACCTGTGCCTGGGGCCCCATCGCCTGTGAGCTGGGCATACAGCAGGTGGAGGAACAGCAGGGTCAGAGGCCTGGAGAGCAGGGCCAGCGTCAGAAAGCATGCTGGTCAAAATTCTCTGCTCCTGGTTAGCATCCACCCAGAGCCTGGCCTCCGTGGTCCCCCACTGGGGTCCAGAGGAAGCTGCAGCTACGAGGGAGCGGTCAGGGGCTATTTCCAGACCCTCCTTGGCTGAAGATGCCCTACCCTTCTGAGAGCAGGAGGTTGGAGACAGGCTGCTGTCCTTAGGGGCAGGGGTGCTCCCAGTCTGGGGGATGGGTCACTGAGACCTGTCCCGCCCACCGACCCCCAGCTCCCCAAGCTCCCAGGCTCTGGGCTGGCTCTCACAGTGGACAGTGCCTGCTGAGGGCCAGCAGAGGCCAGGGATTGCCCATCTCGCTGGATTTCAGTCACCCTGACGAGTTCTCCCACTGTGCGTCCTCCTAGCACCCAGCTAGTTTGTGTCCTCCTCAGAGGACAGAGCTGGCCCATAATGACAGTAGACACCAGACTCAGCCCTGATGCCTGCTCCTGGTTTCTCTGCCCCACAGACAGAGGCAGAGATTCTACCACTGGCTGCTGGGAGGGAGTAGGAGCAGCCCTGATGTGGTCCTCTGATACCTGAAACCTCCATACAGGCTTTTCCCCAAACCCTCTTCCTGCAGGGGCAATGTGTCCCCAATCCTGGGGCTGGAGCCTCTGTAAGAGTAGCAAGAACCCCCCTGAGGCCCAGGGTCACCTGGAGCCTTTGGCCTAGGACCTGTGGTTGTCTTCGCCATTTATTTTGTTTGTCTTTTGGTGGTACCGGGGTTTGAATTCAGGGCCTCACACTTGCTAAGCAGGCACTCTACCACTTGAGCTATTCTGGCAGTCCTGTTGCTGCTTGTGACACCTGGTGATACAGTGAGTAGGGAGCAAGGGGTGCCCATGTCACCAGCGTGGCTCCCCAGAGGTTCCCAAGGCAGTATTCCCAGGCCTGTGCCTGCCCAGTTCCCACAGCTGTCCCCAGGTGGGCCATGTAGGGGTTAGGGACCCCTGCGAAGAGAAAGCCACTGGAGGCTCAGGCGAGAGGCTGCTCACAGGGCTGGGAGGGGATCTGCCAGACCCCCTTCTGCATTCAGGGAATGCCCCTTCCCCTCCAGGGCTACCACCGTCCCTCGCTCCAGGCTCCTGTCACCCTGGCGGTGTGTGGGGAGGGCTCTAGATCTTGGGTGGTTCCACGAACAGGCAGCAGAGCTTCTTAGGATAGAGAATGGCTGCTTCCACGTCCCTGTACTGGCCAGCTGACTCCTTCACCTCACCCTGGACTGGGTGCCCTCTCTTTGGATCCTGGCAGAACTCGGGTGGTGTTGTCTGAGTTGTGGAGAGAAAGGCACTATGTTAAAGACCAATGCCCAAAAGGTCCCAAAGAGTGTGGTTACAACACGAGTGAATGACCAGCTTCCTCTCTGTGTGCTCTTCACTGACCTGGCCTAGTTTCTCAATCTACAAGGAAGAAAAGTGCCTGATTTGCCTATAAACCAGAGGAAGACAAGAAGTGGCCCACGTGTTGATGAGTCCAGCTCTGACCTGATCAGCAGGGGACGGGGGGGGCAGAGCTAAGCCCCTGCTCCTCCTCCCACCAGGCATCAGGCTGGGATAGATCCTCCATGGGCTGCTACTGTCCCCTCCCAGCCCTGGCACACCAGCTGGCACAGAGTGGGGGCAGATCAGGGATGCCTCACCAGTCCTTGTGCGACATTGTCCTCTGCCCACTTCACCCTCCTCTGCCCACTGCCAGTTGCTCCAGGGACAGCTGTCTGCCGGGAAGCAGCCACCCCAGGATTAACCCCCCAGGTGCTGGCTTCTCTGCCTGACTCTCCCGCCTGACTCAGCGCATTCTCAAGCTACCACCCCTCTTATGCCTGGCCATTGCCCTGGGACAGCAGAGGCTAGCCTGACCACTAGGAGGCTCAGAGGGCTCCCGGCCCAACCTCTGCCTGCTGGACGTCCAGGAACTGTTGGGAAGCTGGCAGGTTCTCAAGAGTCTGGCAGACCCTGGGGGAGGGAGTGTTTCAGCCTCAGGTCCCCAAGGCTGTCAGGACTTCCAGCTGTCAAGGGAGACTGGAGCCAGAGCACACCCCCCTGGTAGGTGGGGTGGGGAGGACCTTGGGCAGGGGTAGGGTGGGGCACATCATCTGGGAACCTTCTACTGCCTCAGCTGTCCCTTGTTCGGATTGTAAATCAACTCCTGAGCCTGACTCTTGCAGAATATGGGACTCCTCCATGGTTCCCGCTCGCCCTCTGGGCAGCCCTGCCCCACCCTGTCCCCACCAGAACTTCTGCAAAGGGGAGTGGCTCCTTCTCCCTCCCCCAGGTGGGAGAACTAACAGTGATATTACAAAGGAATTTTGAGGAGGGAAAGTGAAAGGAGCAAGGGAGAGCAGCTTGTCCCCTCCTCGAATTTCCCCGACTCTGAAAAGGGGCCACCCAGCCCCTTGGGATTTGAGATCTGTAGGAGGCCAGGGGCAGCCAGGAAGATGCACAACCTTTTGTACAGCTGCCGGCTCAGAACCCCAGCCAGAAGCCGCTGGCCAGCACCCCATGAACTCACCCAGCCCCCTAGGGCTATCTAGGGATCCCATCCAGATGGGAGTCCCACCGCCCACATGGGACAATGGCCCTGGCTGGCCTGACTGGCCTGGCTCACAGATTGGGGGAGCTGCCAGTTCGGCAGCTGTGGCCCCACCCCCACCCCCTCGGGGCTTCCCTTGAGCCCAATTTGGCCCAGGAACCCAAGGGGAGGAGACCCAGGGGCTGTAGCTGCAAAGGCAGAAACAACTGCTCGAGCTCTGAGATGGGCTCTAGGGCCTGCGCTGTTTTCTTAGTGCCCTGGAGTTCCCCAGCGGGCAGGGGCCTGGCTGAGGGGTCGGGGTCCTCAATACCCAGAAGCACAGGTGTTTCCAGGCGCACAGCTTGCCTGATAGATGTGTGACCAAAGCTGCCTTTCTCAGGAGTCAGCCTAAGCAGCACGCTCTGGGCTGTGGGCATCCTTGGTCCCCAGGAGCCCCTACCTGGGATGTGGACCCCTTCAGCGCCCCTGCCCTTAGCCGGCCACAGTTGGCCGAATGTAACTTCCCGCACACCAGCAGGATGGGGACAACTGGAGCGGTGGGGCGGGGTGGCTGAGAGGTGCCTGAAGTTAGGGAAACATAGACGGCGCTGCGGGGCCTGGAGGGGCGAGCAGTACTACTGCGAGGGACCCACGAGGGACCCCAGCCACGACCTGGGGGAGCTAGGAGGCACAGTAGCGCCAAATTCTCACGGCCTGGCCTGGGGCCAGCAGGTGGCCCTTCCGGAGGCCGGCTGGGTCAGGGTCTGAAGGGTTAATGCCGTCCAGTTGCCCCTCCTTCTGCCCTCCCCCCAACCCCCTCCCCGGGGCGCGGGGCTCGGGCGCCCGGGCGGGCCGGGGCGGGGCCTGACGTCCGCGGGCGGAGCGAGCCCGGCGGGCCGCCGCGCTCCAGACTCGCCGAGCTCCCGCCGCGCGCACAGCGCTGTCCCTGGAGCTCGGAGAAGCTGCCGGGGGCCGGAAGATGGCGAAGCGCGGCGCGCGGCTCTGCGCGCTGAGCGCACTGCGCGCGGGTGGCTCCCGGGGCCCCGCGCCGCCGCCGCCGCTGCTGCTGCTGGCGGGGCTGCTACTGCTGGGCGCGGCGCGGGCGCGGGCCCCGGCGGACGGAGGTTTCAGCCTGCACCCGCCCTACTTCAACCTGGCCGAGGGAGCCCGCATCGCGGCGTCCGCGACCTGCGGCGAGGAGGCCCCGGCGCGCGGCGCCCCGCGCCCCACCGAAGACCTCTACTGCAAGCTGGTGGGGGGTCCCGTGGCCGGCGGAGACCCTAACCAGACCATCCAGGTGAGCGCGGGGCGTGGAAGTGGGTACACCGCCCCGATGGCATTTGAACCCGGGCGCCTGGGACGGATCGGGCTCGGACTCTGACTCCAAAACTTAGCCCGACTCCTCCCGGAGTGTCTTGGGCCCGAGAAAGTCCAGGTGCCGACTCTCCTGTCCCGAATCCGTGGTTCCGCATTTCGGGGGACCTAGAGGGAACCCAGCCCGGTCACTCAAGCTTGGCCCGAGAAATTGCGCGTCCCTTCTCAAGGGCCAATGAAATGTCCCCGCCGCGGACCGGGACGGCGGGCCCCAGTTCAGCTCCGTGGTGGTGACCTGGGCGGGAGGGTGCTGGTGCCCAGTGACTGGCGGCCCCAAGTCCGGGATCCCGGCGAGGGCGGGACTTGGCTTAGGTGCAGGCTGCCTGTGGGGAGGGGTGGGCGCTCCGCCTTCCCCCGGGACAGGCTGGAACCTGCTGGCCTCCGGATGGGGACGGGATGAGGGCGGGAGTGGGCGGGAGGGGCCTTGCTCCTGGTGTCGAGGTTCTCACTGCTTAGCCTAGGGTTGAAGCCTCTCCACTATGTGTCCAGAAACTCGGTGGGACCCCCCCCCCCAGGTACGGG